AGTCTTCTAGTTCAGATACTGATTAAGATTTATTACATAAAAATGATGATATACTTCCATCCAATTTGAACAATCTAGTCTAGTTATTATTTGTTTATTAAAGATAAAAGCATTTAAAACAGAACTCAAATTTATTACAAGTCATAATTCAGCAATTGACATGTTTGCGCTCATAAATTTACAAATAAAACTGTATTCTGGCAGTTTACTACCTCCCAGTGATAGTTCTTTACTATAATCTATAAAATCAGAGCAGCAAAGTGTGAACATAAAATATATCGACCATATTTTTAACTCTTTGTAGTTTTAGCATTGAATAACAAATTTAAATCAATGCATTTTAAATAAAGTTATATGAATTCATTTACATTAGGTACGAACTGTTTTAAAAATATTAAAAGACTTCTAGAAGATTCTAGTCAAATTTATTTATAATACGATAGATTTACATAAAGTTATAAAAAAGTAATACCTTTATTTCTACCAGCGGTTTCGCTCGCATGGGCTCTAGGGAACTGTTTATTTGGATATCAATTCATATCATGACATGGATATTATTATAATTACAAATTGAACAGTAAACAAATGGTTATTATGGTAACATTTTAATTAAAATATAAATAACAATAAAAATCTTTCCTCTTTATAATATCATTATAGATAATCATAATTTCAAAGATTCCAAATAGGTACCTAATTTGTCTATTACAACACACTAGATTTTTATGTTATCTATTCCAAAACCCATTATAGATTAACGATTATTTATTCCCTAACTGTCTAGTTTTTTATAATCCATGTGTTTTAATGTGTGTTATTAGTAGCAGTTTTAATTATAGTTTAGAAAGTTATTTAGGTAGATAGATATTTTCTGTATTTAATCTAAAATATATTTATAATTTTTGAAAAAATATATTATTCCTTTATGGTTATAAAGTTTCATGATTTTATCTTTGACAATGACGAACTTCCAAACAAACTTTAAATCAAATATAAAAACGCAAATATAAAGTATGAACAAAACGAAATTTACGCAACATTCTTTGAACAAAACGATAAGGGAGTTTAGTTGAGATAAACGCCATCTAGTAAAGAAAGCTTAAAGTTTTTTCTTACTAGAATTTATTTGAAATTAAATCAATTTATTGATTGGCTACAAACTGAGAAAGTTACACTTCCTCTTACAATTCAAATTAAATATTAAGGTCTAAATCATGCAAGTCTTATTATTATAGGAATGTCAAGGATATTATTATAGAAACATACAAACACCAATAACACTATCTAGTAAACACAAAATATACAGTTTGTTTTCTTTCGTATTTGAAATGATTTATACTTGATATATATAAAAAAAATGTTATTTTTGTCATCAATTGTGTACTCAAATATCAATTTTTAACACAATATAAGGAAATCTTAATAATTACTATAAGTATTATCTAAATCTTTATAAATACTATATATCATTACAATGACAGATCAAATTGTAAACAGTGGTTGGTATGGTAATATTAAGTTATAATTCCTCTTTCATTCTTTAAAGTGCTAGTTTTCGGGATAAAATTTAACCTTTCATCTTCTTTGGGTCTAAAACTCTCCAAAATACCAATTATCAGGTCCAAAAACAAAGAAGTTTCATATAAATTATTTCACCCTCTTTGGGGTGGAATTATGTGGTGTACTACGAATGTATTTCTGAAAATCCGTTCTTAGTACACTTTAACGTAATAAGACGAATGTACCCCCAAATTTCAAGTCTCTACGACCAGTGGTTTATTAGGCTATGCGTTGTCTGTCAGTCAGTATGTCAATATATGTAAAGATTATAAATTTTGGTTCCACAATGCTATATTGATATTTGTCTATAGAGAAATAAACTTAACTAAAACGCCTTGTTTGCAAAAGGTTTTGGGGTCGAATCTCAAACATGCAACTACCACCTGTTTTAAGTATTTTGTATTTGATATTATAGTTTTGATACCAGAATTTTCGGCACTATCATCACAGAGATTATAATTGTTAATTTTACGTAACATAGGTAGGTACGGTGTGAAGTGTGTGTTTTAAATTAAATTAACTAAATAAATATTGAAATGTAAACGCATATGGATATCTTAATACAAATGCTGTGCATGTCTGTAATTGTCATAAATGCTAGATAAGTGTCATTTAAAAGGTTTACTGATTATTTTTGTATTTGTGATGTTGACGTGCCTTAAGTAAATAAATAAATAAAGTGATTGCCTTAATATAAAACACACACAGTAAATAGTAGGTAGGTAGTATAATAAAAATTATGAATAGCCTTTCTCACTTAATGTACAGTCAACAGCACGTTATGCTATACAAATTTATAAAATTTCTCCACTTGATTTTAAAGCTTAATTCAGTGTAGATAGAGTTTAAAATCAAATCTTTAAACTCTTATTTAAAAATTTCAATAATATTCATACTGACTAAAATACTATAATCACTATTAAATTGATTTGTCATAATATGATTTGTCATATTGTGGTAGCCTGACTTGTAACATTTTACGCAGTTCCTTTTATTTATTAACAATTTAATAGTAACAGTAGGTTTAGTCAGTATAAATATTTTTGAAATTTATAAATAAGAGTTTCCTGAATTCTGATATTTCTATATTCAGTAGCATAAATATAATAAATATTGTAATGTTACTAGGTTTAATGGGTTAGATTTTTAAGGATGTTAATATATATTTCTCTACCTAACTATATTAGCTGTATTAAATCATATAACAAAAATTACGGCAAATGATTGTTTTTGCAGCCTACTTAATAATCTACTTAGTTTTAGTGAATATATTGACTTTTGATTTAATTAAGCATATTTTTGAAAATATTATATACGTACAAATATTAATATTATCCTCTTGGTTGTAAAGATAGCAATTTTTTTTTTATATTTCGAAATAATTACGATGAGTAAATTTATCGACGCCTTTTTCTTTTTTCATTCTGATTTTAGACAATTATTGAACACCCAAACAAAAAACTCTTCTTGGTTCATATGCAGCAACAAAATATAAAATGAAAAAGTAACAGTAGTGATGAAAGACAATAAAAAATAATGCCGTTGAATAAAATTACCATTGAGAATAGTCTTGACCTTTGGCATAAATGTCTGTCTGGAAATGTATTTAGATATATACCTAAGAGGTATAATGGGTCGTTGGGGACAGGTTTACAACATTTAAGTAAAACTGCCATAGATTTATGGACAAATATAGGCTTTAAAACTCGTATACAAAATAATAATAAAAAAGTCGAAATTTTATTTGATCGGAATGAGTTTTCAAATAATTTAGAAATGTTAGCTGGTACTATTATTATAATAAATGTATTAATATGATATTTAGTTGTCTCGAGTATCATTTTCATTTTTCTGGTGTCGCATATCGTTCAAAAATCCTACTAATATTATTAATGGGAAAGTCTTTTTGTTTGGATGTTTTGTCCGTCAATTACGTCAAAACTTTTAATAAAATTTGATATACAAGTATGATATTAGTTGACTTAGGTAATAGGATACTTTTATCCCACTAAACAATTTCCTAGGGACTACGCGGGCGAAACCGCTGGCGAAAACTAGTAACGAGATATAATTGTTATTGTGTACAATCGATTCCATAGATGTATTTTAAGTTCGAGGCTACGATGTTGGCAAAGCTTATTATTCGAAACATAATCTAAAGTCATGTGAACTTCTAAAATTCTCTTGACATAACCAAAACTGTAATTGTAACATGATCCAATACTGTTTTTACTTGGAACAGTATTCACCTTCAAGTTATGTTTTACATATACAAAGGGACATTCATCAACATTGTTGTTACGAGTACTAAATAATACATACAGGCCTCTCTAAAATGACGTTGGTTCGAAGTAATTTAATAATGAATTAGACTCAGTTCGTTTATAAGGAAGTGACTGGTTTCATAAAACATTTTAGTAGCAGTACAGGATGCGTTTACTGATATCTTAACGCATCCATCCGTTTATACATATGTTCCTAGAGAATGGACTACATAATATATATTTACCTATATTATTACATTCATTATATACAGACAATTTGACATATATACCAATCGATTAGTGAATTTCAATAATAGTCAGTAGGATGATTTATTCTTGAAAAGAAATAAGGTTACTATAATTACCGTAAATTTTACACTATAGAAGAGCTTCACAATTAATCTATATGATTAATTTGATCACCGCATATTATATTTGGCTTCGCCCAAAGTATATCAAAGTATGTCAAAGGGTCACTATTCTAACTTCGCCAAAGACGTCATTGCTCACCACTTAGTAGGATGGCGATTAATTTTCCGATAAGTATAGCCGCAGGCTCCTAATCGGTTAATTGGTCACATTTTCCCGAATTCGATACTATCAATTGTTATCAACGTGGGACGAGACAGAACAGTTCATTTGCTATCCTACTGGTGGGATTAATTTCCCCCAATGTTGACCACACCTTTGTCACGCCCTAGGCGAACGTCGCTAATTAATAGTGTTTTCGATAAAGTGCGGGTAAACGAGCTCATGTTACACTCGTCAACCATTAACATGATAAGCTTACTGAGTACCAACCTGCTCAAGCCACTTTATTGTGGTGAGTTGATGATATATTACTGCCTCTGCCGAGATCCAACCAATCCCTATTAGCTAGTTAATGTTTGTATTAGCTAACGATCGACGGTGACCTTAATAGTACATTTCTAAATTACGCTATTATGATAATATTTCTGAGCACATTCACTCAATAGAATATACATATTACATCAAGAAATAAATTAAAACGACGTAGGGCTATAAAACAATGTTGTTTTAAAAGCATTACCACCACTGACTTATAATGGTACCATTTGCCGTAGAAGCTCTATATTTTAATAAACAAATTACGTATACACACAACTATTTCGTATAAACCTTTAGTGTAAAAGTAGGATTTTATTATTATTTTCAGATCAGGAAGATATAGATGGGCCCATAATTATTCCAAGTAAAACTGAAATCGTATTACAAAAACATCAAAATTTTACACTTAAATGTAAAGGGAAAAGACAACTACACATAAAGCAACAGGATATACCGGAAGAAAATGTGGGAACTTTTCATATCAAGGAAAGGAAATTAATTTCAACAGACCCTAATAATCCTTTTGAAGTAGCTTTTGATCTTTACAATGTTGATCAGTATGCCGTCGGATATTATGCTTGCTTTGATGATACAGTCGACAATAATACCATTCTAAATGATATAAAGGAAGAGCTGATTAACACTGAGCATGTTACCTATATTTACATTTACGTTAACGGTGAGGACAAAAACTCTAGTTCATTGATTATAGATAAAAATTGATGAAAAGGAACAATTTATTTATATTAATTTTAGGAACTGACGTTTTATTTGCACCTATGTCGGAGTATTTTGTAATTACGGGAGGATCAAAATACGCCACACTGCCGTGTAAGCCGACTATGCCAGATATAAACATTACGTTGACATTTGTGGTATGTATAGTACAGTGTTACCGAATGAGAGTCATTTCCATTTTGACATGTCAAGTATTAGTTATAAATACAATAGATGAAGTGAAAACATACGTCCTGTTAAAAATGACATCGTAACTTGCTATAAATATGACATTACAACATTATAGCTTGTCCGCAATTGCATGGTGAATAATAAACATACTAAATATGATTGAAATGAGATAAAGTTAACTCACTTTTCAGTAAATTACTAAAACAAACAACATTGTCTCATCAAATAGCTGTTCATAAGCTGTCATTAACGCTTATTGCTGACGGTAAAGCCTTTACTAAAGCATGGAATGTTTCTTTTCAAACATGTTTAATTTTCACGAGTTCCTTAACTACATTGTTGATATTCAGGGCCTTACATCTCATCTAAAATATGATTACGAAAACTATGATCCTAAAATTGGAATGACTTTAGATAGCGATGAATTAAAAGCCATTTCGGAAGATGTCATATTATTTCAATGCGATGCATCGAGACACAATAGTAACATACTGGATTACAGACAAGTATTTATAGAGAAACGTAGGTGAATAGACGTCTGATTATTTTATATAATGGTGTAATCACACTCAAGAAAATTATTGATTTATAATTATAAAATATATTTGTGAATCGATATAATTTAAATAATTCTTGAGTGTGGTTGCCGATGTTTTTCAATTTTAAATGGTTTGAAAAAAATGTTTAGAACAATTTTAATTTCCAAAGAATTAATTTAAAATTGAAAAGCATAACTACATGCTTTAGTATCTATTGAAATAAAAATATTTATTTGGCGATAACTACTGTATTAGAATTCTTCGGGTAGCAAGACACCAGTACCAGTAGCATATAAAAAATTCTCGCCAAAGATTGGGTTTTTAATAGAGGCAATTAAGACTCCTTATAAATGCAACGGCAGAAGAGGAAATGATACCTCTACTAAAAATCTAAGTAAGTAAAGTAACATGTACGAGTATTTTGGTGTTACCTAACAGGTAGCGTGGTGTGATGGTTCTTTCATTCGTTCAATTTTTAATTTATCTGTTCAGCTTAAGCTTGTTACTGACCTTCTTTCTGTTTCTTTTCTTTCTATTTGGTGTCTTGCACTGCGTGTTACATATTCGTAGATGCACATGAGTTGTAAATAATTATGTATGTAAATTCTAATCTACTAACATCATACTAATCTTATTGTTTGGTGTACAATAATTTCGTTGTTATGTAGTATTATATGTTCGAAAATGTATATTATAACGTTTATTAAATGTTGTGTATATTACTCGTATTATTACGTTAATATATAGCGATAAATACTTTTACAATGCACGTTAGGTGTTAAGCTAATGATGTTTTTGATGATTATATAAAAATATTTACGTTTTCGTGTATATGTTTATTGATGTAAATTAAAACTATTTATAATCACTTGAATAGGGATATCGACTGATGTTACTTTGTTTGTCCGTCAGGTAGATTGTTGAAAAATATTAAACACGTATTTTTTTTGTAATCATTAAATTACTACGATACGTTGAGTTGAAATGTCACATGACGTCACGCTTTGGTACATCTTCTACAAATGTAAATGCTTGTTACCTTAGCTACTTATTTCTTGTTATATTGAAGTAAAAAAAAAGTATCTATCTATGTTTTTCTATTATCTGACTGACGGATTAAATAGAATTTCTTTTTTTTTACCAGTCGTCATCCCGATTTGTTTTTTCTTTTTATTTACTCTTGTTTTTCTTTTGCACATTTTTATGTAATAAGTATTATTTAGAACTTCCAAATAGTGACAGCGCCGCATTAATTTGTTTTGACTGTATTGAACAGGAGAAAGAGAGAGACATTAATATAGGACAAGTAGAAATTTGGTCACTAATAATTGATGAAATTTTTGCTATATTGTTTTCATCGATACAAAAATCCTATTTTTTTCATCAAAACAGACTCAAAATGTAATAATTTCTTAAACACAAGGTTCACAATTGATATTTGCTTTGTTGCACTGTGTTATTAAAATTTGAAATTTTACGTAAACTAAAGTTTTTATATTAAAAATAGTAATATCTAATCGATTTCTAATTCTCTTGGAGTAGTAAACTTAAAGATGCTAATAAGTGAAACTATATAATTTTCCCTGCTAATATTTCATTTGATGGAAATATGTGGTGAATTGGGTCATGTATACAACTATACTATTTTACAAAAAAAAAAGTTTCAAATTCGTCGAACGCTGCGTTGTCATAGCATAGAGCTTCAATGAAATAAAACCTTTGTTACCTTTTGAAGTAGGTTCAATTTCATTGAACCTATATTACGTGACAGTGCTGCGTTCAATGCTGTTTTTTAACAGAATAGTGCTATAGGATAGAATTTAGTTAGTAGTGTAGGTCCATTTTTATTTAGTATCATTAATGGAACATATTTAGTTATTATTTATCGATATTTTAAGTTTATTTTAATATGTATCAGCAAACAAACTGTAGGTATATTGACAAACACTTATCAATCTCTGGATGCAGTAGGAGACATCATAAGTAGCAACGTGTACATAGTTGTCTTATATCGTGAACATTAACACAATATTAAATTTGTTTACTGATAAAAAAAAATCCTGTATACAGTAAACAAAAGGTTGGACAAAACTGAAAGTGTATATAACATTATAACATTTAATATAACTTTAATTGCAAAACTATGATATTTTGTGGTAATCTGATGTGCAGCTGTGTGCACCTTATAAAATAAACTAAATAGCATCATAACAATATTCTATTTTTCCCACCAAATCATTGTGTTCAACATTTTGTAATCGTTTTAGCGGCGCTGTTACTTTTAAGTGTTCATTTACTACAATATATTTATTTAATTTTAAAATAATAATTATATTATTTGAATTCAACATTCATTGTTAATAGAAAAGTATACCTAGTGATATTTATATAGTGATGAATAAGAATATATAAATCAAAATTAATTTTAAACTAACCCATACAGTTTCTTCAAATAAAAATATATATGTTATATATATTTGAAGAAACATTTTTATGAAAATAATTTTATTTTTTATTATGTTGGCTTTTATTTTTTCTTTTCAACATTATAATTTATTAATCTTCTTCTTCTTGATTGATTATAAAACACTTTCTATTACAGTGCCGAGACGAAATGACGTATGGCAGCCTAAGTGGACAATTCAAGGCCAACAGTTTTTTTTGGCCGGTGAGAATTTTACCCTGAATTGTTCGGTGAAATATCAGCTGAATTCACCGGTTGCATTGTCATGGGAAGTTCCACTAAATGCAAAGGTAAATAAAGTTTATTTATAACGGAACGGCCTGATTTCCTCAAATTACCAATTTAATATTCTTATTCTTCTGTTAAAATAATTTAAAATAAAATATTTTTAATGAAATAAATAAAAAGTGTTAATAAAATAAACAAATATGAAACAAAAGTCTTAAAAGTAGAAAGCCACTGTATACAAAAGTACTTCCTGAATTCTATCTACCTATTAATGGTTCTTTTGGGTATTTTAAAGTTACATTAAGAATAGTCAGTCGTATGGACCGTAAACGTGACCAGCACATGTCGCTGTTAATATCAAAATATAGTCTAATTCACATTACTTTATTGTTTGTCTGCGACATATACACGAATAAATGAATCATAAAGATACATAAATAATGAAAATATTACCTTATATAAAGTTGCTCATTTCAGACGTCCTTTATTCTTAATAAAAATGTTTCTTTTTGTTAACTATAGTTTCTAGCAAAATTTGAAAATAAATCTTTTATAAACTGTGAAAATGTCTCGGAGTCATGATAGATCATTAGCTGTTTCTTTTGTAGAGTTTTTTTATCAACACATCAAATGAATTAAACGTGGCCCCCGGTGAAGATTTGTTTAATACCATCACAGCTATTAATGCCACAAAGGATGACGAAGGAAATTATACCTGTATTTTGAGTGGTGGTCGCGAGAGGAAATTGTACAAGACTGTTGAAAAAAAATTTTTAGGCAAGTACTCTTCATTAATACGTTTTTAAACTGTTAATGGTTGATAACTGAAGAAAATATTAGCTTTAATAGTAAAGTATTAAAAAATTTTATGGCAATAAATTCATCATCAGCCTATTATTCCCAATGCTGGGGCACAGGCCTTCTTTAATGATGGAAATGAAACAAATCGAATAGGGAGATGGGCCATGACTATAATAGATGATGCCTGCGTAAAAAAAGGAACTTTACTAAGTCCATCAGTCAGATAATAGAAAAATGTTAGACACATTTTTTTTGCTTCAATTAAACAAGGAATGGCTTAGAATAGGAATTAAATTTAAGAACTCTCAGGGAATAAAACAGACACTACCCTATTGACGAGCTCTCGATCCATCTGGTCCGTGGCGGGCGGGTGCTGTCTCATTCTATTACGAATGAAGGAGCTCGCAACCCACAAATATGTAAAAAATTTGTACATTTTCTACACAAGTGTAACGTCATGGAACATTTCAAGCCAATTTATTGCCGTAATTTATATACTCAAAAAATAAAAAATACGTGTTTAATAATCTTCAACGATCTATCCGACGGACAGACAAAAAAAATAGTCATAATCCCTATTAATATTACTATTATATGTAAGTACCTCAATACTAAAGTCTATTTTATGTGTCTTTGTTATCAGTTCATTTTAAATAAAAATTACAAGGCACACGCTAAATACTGCAACATTTTTTATTTACTAAAGTGTAAATAATTCCAAGAATCATTCAAACAGCCATACGGGTATAAACCATTGTTAAGGATTGAAAATTCGTATCATTTCCATTTATATTAGTCAACTAAATAGGTTTGTGTTGACTAGTAAAATCATGTTTCTTTTTAATTTGCAGAAAAGCCCTTTATAAATTTGACAAAAGGTAATAAAGATCAAATAATAACAACAGAAGTGGGAATTATTCAACTAAGGGCTGAAGTGATAGCATACCCTTACCCTACATTCTCTTTGTAAGTTTATTTTACACTAGTTTTTTCTACGACTTAATCCACGTTAACAGCCTATGTCACCCGTACAGGATGTAGCTTTCCGTAGTTGAAAGAATTTCAAGATCGGATCAGAATTTTGCCACAAGGGACAACTGCTTGTAGTACTTTTACATTATTGTTTTTCGCATACACGTTATTTCTATATAATCATTATTTACAATGCTCTGTCCCTCTGTTTTGTTTTGTCTCTGTTAGATCAATTATTACTCGTAAATAATCCACTCAAGGGTATCATGCATATATTTATTCAAATTTAAAAAAATATATATATTGAGGGTTAACTTTCAAAGATAAAACATTTTCCGGATTCTAGTGTAGATAAGTTAATTTAAGATAAAAATTAAACATAAACGACTGGATTTGCTGAATTTCTCAAAAAAAAAAAAAATACAATGTGCGAAGTGCTTATTCGATATGTTAATTTGTTTGTAATTCAAATAACAGTGACTTAAATTACTTTTATAATGATTATATCTTTTCATAGTTTTGATAATCCCTTATAAGCGTTTTGGAAGCATATGAATTGTGTGTTGAATGATAATGATGACCTCTGTGGGAGTATTTCTATATTCTTTTTACGGTTTTTGAATGTTTTTAGTTATCGAGATAATCAATTACTGCAAATGAATAATAGTTCAAAGTATAAATATAGAATTGACAATCTTTCAAATGATGTAGTATTTACAATTAAAAATTTAAAAGTGACAGATACAGCAAAATATACTATCGTGGCCACTAATGGACCCGTTAATAAAAGTGTCACTTTTGACATACGAAGAATAGGTAAGTGAGTTATGATTAATAATATTGATATTCATAAGTATTGATCTCAATTGATAACACCTGACTATTCACTGACTCCTGACTATTCATAGTTCCGAAACACTACTCATTTTGGTCATATTCTGTTTCATGAAACAAAAATAACGATTTCACTCACTGAAATGTTCTTTACTTTGGTTTAAACATTATGTCGGTATCCACCTTAGATTATTGGTATAATAAGAAAGTTGACGATTTAAATGTAAGTAATCAAAAATATTTAATAAAATAGAACTGAAAAATTATTGTTACGGAATAACACTAAAAATGCAAAGAAAATTTATCACATTGGAGAAAATAACAAATTTCTAGTATTGCTGGTGATTCACCCATAATTATAATTCACAGAAAAACCAACAGTAAAGTTTGGTCAAAACCAAGGAATAATATTATTGGCGAATACGCAAAGAACTTTGATGTGCGAAGCAGTTGGTTATCCGTTACCTGAAATTAAATGGATATTTACCGATAACGGTAGTGAATTTGTAAGTGTGAATGCTATTTAAGTTATTACAGTAAGATCCAACCAAACTCTTCGTTGTAAGTTCGCGATTTGATACATAAATAAGAGGTCTTGATGATTTGATGAATTAATAAAATAAGAGACTACTAGTTATTAATATACGATTATTTTATTATTTATTTTGTAGATAAATGGAATTGACGAACAGAAATCTCTGTACAAAGTTATATCTAAGTTAACCGTAACTGCACATCGCTCTGGAAACATAACGTGTATAGCTACAAATAAAAAAGGAAATGACTCTGTCTCAATAGAGTTATTTATTTATGAAATACCAGACGGATTTGGTATTTTAGATACAAAAGAATGGTATTCAGAGAACCAAGAGCTATCAATAAGGTGCTTAGCGTCGATTTATAAGTTTGAAAATTCTACTTGGTACGGGCCAAACGGCGAAGATTTGAAAGAACACGGTCCGTATACGATACAATAACAAGAATATGTAATACAATAATATAAACACGAATATATTGGAAATAATACCTTGTTTAACATTTTACAGTGACTTATTTACAAAGCTCCTTTTCGCATGTAACAAAACTGAAAATAGATCCAGTTTCTATGCAGCAAGCTGGCACATATACCTGTGTTGGACAATATTTTAACGGCACAGAAGAAACGGCGACTACCAATGTTATAGTTGAAGGTACTTCTTAAACTAATTTATTAAAATGCAAAGTAGACGGCTTAGTTTATGATCTTTATCATCGAAATTTATCAATTTAACTTAAATAATTTCAGCAATGAAGGAACCAGTTTTCTTGGAGCCAAAAATAGATCGAGATGAAGAAGTTAGGATGTTTCAACAAGTGTCGTTTAGCTGCGCAGCTGATGCTGTGCCAATACCTATAGTGGAATGGCACAAGGTAAAAGTGGACAGGAATATCTGTATTGCATAAAAAAATAATTGAAAATTCAAGTCAAAGTCAAAGTAATCTTTATTTATTAAATAGACTTTTAAAAGTACTCTCTTTACTCGTCTTTTGGCCGATAAAAAGAACGAGCAAGAAACACACCAGCTCTAACAGAAGTAATGACATTCACAAAAACCATGTCATTACCAGATCAATATATTATAAATAGAGAGAAAAAAGATCTGTAATTGACTAAAATCACTTTTCTAACATACGGTTTCTGAATTGAGAATTTGAAGTTAAACACGTAAAAAAAAATATCCTTAAACGTCAGTTAAATAGGTTTTCGTTTTTGATTTTAGTTTTTGTTAATTATCAGTTTATAGCATTTATAGTTTGAAAAAACTAGGATCTTTTGGCTTGTGAAACGTAAGGCACTTATGGAGAATAATTAATTGAATATCTTAATTCAGAAACCGGCCGTAACTCTTTTAGATAGAATGTCAGTAATTTTTTACTTCTTATGCTTATTAATTACATTATTTGAATATTGACGAATAAACGTTTTTATAAGATCATACAAGAAAATATTTATTTGCAGGATGGAGAATTATTAGAAAACAAAACCGATGATTTAATAATGTATATTGAACGGAATCACTCTGTTGTGAATTCTACAATTTTTATAGAAAGAATGAAGGAGGCATATACAGGCAAATATGAATGTATGGTAATTTACGATGACCGATTGCCAAAAAGTAAATTTGTCAATTTGATTATGAGCGGTTAGTATCAAAGTGATATCAACTATGTGGCTTATGTGTTATTATCAATTTTGTCATATATTTATGTTTCAATAATTTACCATAAGCCTAGTCAAATAAGCACATAAAGGATTCATTCTAGAAATGAGAGATAATAAGGTTCAAAGTAGAGTCTCCAACCTTAGTTACCTCTAATTCTCTATTTTCACTAAATCTAGCCTTTGCGTCGTAAATTATTAGGTTCTTAGTGATTACGTTAGTTTTATTATTTCAATGATGATAACATTAAGATAAATAAAAAATTTTTTATGCACTCTAAGAGTGATAGCCGTGTAGTACAATGATGAACCTCTGTGCTTAAAAACTTGCAAAGTGTCCTTAAATATATAGTTATTTTAATTATTTTTATTATACTACTGCGTTTATAACTATATCACCGTAGATTTAATAATGACTACAAAGGTGCAATATAGTTTTATATACTTTTTTATCTAAGTGGCCAAGAACTTTAAATATAGTACAAATACTAATATAAAGTTACTCATTAGATTGAGGCACACACTAATATAAAGTTATCTAAACTTCTTGTAAGTGTCACGGGTGCTCATTTTTTATTTTGTTTAAAAAAAAAAACCACAAAGAATCTTTTCTCTATTGCATGTTTGTGTTTATTATTAATCGCTTTTTTCATAGAATAATTTTGTTTTCTAAACTGACGATGAAGTTAAAAGCTATGATTGGATTATTAAAATTTATGAAGATACTTCTCAAAACCATAATCAAATCAACACTTAAATTTACAGATTCTATGCCATACAGATCTACTATACTAAGTGTTACCATTATAGTAATATTGACATTGATCGGTTTGGTCATATATTTGACATGGAAAATAATGAAGGAAAAGAAATTCAGAAAGGAGCTAGCGGCTGCTGGTCTGTTGTACTTCAAAGAAGGCGTCACGAAGTCCCTGAATCCTGACCTGGGAATCGACGAACAGGCAGAGCTTTTGCCTTATGATGAAAAGTTTGAGTTTCCACCAGAAAAACTAACACTCGGTGCGAATCCACATAATGTATATGTAACTATAAGAATGATTATAACTGCTATTTTACAATGTATCTCGCGAGATTGTAAACTGTACAAAAATTGTACTGCTTACGATTTGACGTATTACTTTTATCATTGTCATATGTGAGTATTAGCTGATTTTATAAATATGTCGCCCGCGTAAATTATAGCCTATGTCACCCGCATATGATGTAGATTCTCGTAAGTGAAAGAATTTTCGAAGTATTTCCAGTAGTTTCCGAGCCTATTCGATGCAAACAATCAAATCTTTTCTCTTTATAACATAAGTATAGATAAGTATGAATATTGTTACGCAATCATGTATGCATTATTAATTTGTAGGTAGACTTATGAGTTTTTACCTGATTGCATAGGAGTGGTTATTTGAAATTTTATTATGATTTTTAATCCATTTCCATATTAAGGAAACAAATTAAGTCACAGTAACAAACGTGACAACAACAACAACAAACAAATAAATAAAATCGAGTTTCATAATTGAAACATATATCTTAAACTGCAAGCTTTCAATGCGATTTTAGACTTTAGGCAGTTTTACAATATCATTTAGATATTTCAGTAAAAGTTAATCAATTTTTAAACTTATATCATTATATTTAGGCAAACAATTAGGAGCCGGCGCTTTTGGTGTGGTGTACAAGGCGGAAGCTCGTGGTATAATCAATGCGGAAGAAACCACCCCGGTAGCGGTGAAGATGGTTAAGAAGACAGCCGATAACATGTACATTAAAGCTCTCGCTTCAGAACTCAAAATAATGGTGCATTTAGGAAAGCACATCAATATCGTCAACTTACTTGGTGCCTGCACAAAGAATGTAGGAAAACGTAAGTATACTATTTACTGGAGTAATATTGTGTTCTTATTATTGAAATTATTTTGTCTAGTATGTACATCATTAGCTTGTCAATGTCATTCAATCATCTTATCTTTATATGAAATTAATTGTTTTTTTTTTGCGTTTTCGCCCATATAAATTATAGCCTATGTCAACCGCGAATGATGTAGTTTCCTGCTGGTGAAATAATTTTTAAAATTGGTCCAATTGTTTCGAAGCCTTGTCGATGCAAACAACCAATCAGATCTTTTCTCTTTATAATATTAGTATAGAGTAAAGATAGATCAGTGACAAGACGATGAGATAAGACAATATTTTTAATTTATCTCTATGTTCAATGACTGTAGGTTAAAAATTAAGTGAAAAAGACAGTTTTGTTAATCCAAACGTGTTGTCAGCTGTATGTAGAAATTCATTTCTGGGCTTGTTTTTGTCATTTTCTATTTAGACAGTTTTTATCAGAATCAGTTTCATGTCGATAAATTTTAGTGTCTTAAATATTAATTTTAAATCTATTATACAACCAATATAAATGTATAATTATATGGTGTATTACTGTTTCAAGTATAGCGTTATATCATAAAACATTTGCTATCAGTAAAACACGGTCACAGCTGTGATTATTTAGATAGTGATAGCGATTAGTGTTGCCAATTTATGAAAAAATGCACTAAGTGCTGTGGTAAAGGGGAGCAGTTCATTATATAAATAAAGATCGTACAGTTTATTATTATTAGAAGTTTTTATGTTATTAACTTTGCGCCAGTGACTTTGACACATAAAACTTTCTCATGAATCACTTTGTATCTTGATGAAAATTGCATTAAAGTTAGTTGTGAAGTTTAAATGATATCAGCGTAGCGTACAGACTACGACTTTATTTTATACTAGCTTCCGCAAGCGGTTTCGCCCGCGTGGTCCCTACGGAACTGTTTATTTGGATATCGAATCACATCATGACATGGATATAATTACAATGAAAAATTGAATAATAATCAATGGTTACTATGGGAACGTTTTAATTTCCTTTATAAATTTCCAATCCAATTTTCGTCTCTTTATTTGCTGTTTTACGGTATAAAATGTTTTGTTTACCGCATATGATGTACCTTCCTGTAGGTGAAAGAATTTTTTACTACTACTACTAGTTTTGGAGCCTATTCGTTGCAAACAAACAAATAAACAATCCAATCTCTCCTCTTTATAATATTAGTATAGAGTATAGATTATGTATAGATATTGTACAAACGATTAGAAAAAAAAAATATCATTTGCTTTCTTTAATTTTCCCTTAGCCCAATGTAGAAAATATATTTTTTTTTACGTGTTTCTGATCTTCTGTCGTTGTGATTATTTCAATTTTTCATCGTCATTTCTGATTATATGATGATGGACACGATTTATTTGCATATGCATCATCTAATGCATGGAATGACGTTATCATGTTAACTATTGTATATTAGCCACACGTTTATGTAGATATAGGATGTTATACAAAAATTATTTATAATAAATTAATAAGTATAGACATTGCGCAAATATACAGATTTAATAATATGTCAAAACTGAAATGTCCAACTGTCCATCTATTTGTTTGTTGTTCAATTTAATAATTGTGCTAGTATATATTTCACATAGTAATTTTAAATGGCAAGGATTTTTTTTATGAATATTTCAATGAAGCGTCCATACTTTTCCATAATTTTATGATATAGGCTAAAATTTATAAAATATTAGCCTTTGGTAGGTTTTTTGCATCTAAGGCTTCAAGATAATTTGTCAATTGAGATCGTGAGTAATCTCAAAGTCATCATTCTTTGTCACACGTTAGGAATAGATATTAATGCATAATAATATATGTTTATATTATGAGTCAATGTTAAAATAATTCATTTTATCTGACTTCATAGTATAAGAACTTCTTGGTCAATAATAAATTTATCTAATCTATTTATTAGTCGTTTTCCCGCTAATCTATCATTTATTCATAATTTCCATATATTTGTAAAAACATTTTTCGTGCAAAATTGTCAAGCGGAAGGTAAATAAAAAATTTATTAGCTTTAGATGGAAATTCATTGTAGTCGATTGTATGATATAATTTGCGATTTCTATTTAATCGTGTCAATAATTAAAATATTGTGAGCACAAGAGTGAGATTGTTTGTTTCTGACAGCTATTTTTACTATTGTTTATAAAATTAAGATAGCTTCACGAAGGCTGATATCACAATGATCAAAAATTATAAATACCTTTCATCTTAATTGAAAGTTTAAAATATTTTCGCCGCTCACTTGCTAAAGCTCAAGTACAGTAAGGTCCAATTAATATGTCCCACGGAGACTATTCGTGTGCGCAGAGTAACCAGGAGTGTCACCTTCTACGCAGGTACACACGGCTGCACTTCAAGTTACCACAATATGTCGAATGTTCTCAATTTATTTTAAACGCTATCGTCAAGGCATTAAGGCTTAAAATCAAGTGAAGAAATTTCACAGATTTGTATAGTCTGACGTGCTTTATACCATGTATCTGTGACCGTACATAGATGAGCCACTATCATTGTATCTTATTGAAAGAAGTAGTCGAGATATTGCAACAGCATTCGTCCGGTTAGCGATAGATTATTTGATTCAAATCCAATCTGTTACTTGCGATAGGTTTCACCACAGAACATAGACATTTGTGTTCTATGGGATTTCAATTATTATAAGTATCTGATTGGAAAATTAAATGATTTAAAGAAAATTCTAAACCTTTATTAGGTTTGATGTAATGTTTGAATATTAATTATGCTATTTTATCCTTCCTCTATCGAACGAGGCGACAACCAGTTGTTGTAATCTATAATTATTGACTTCTATTCTTTTTTCTGTTAGGTGAACTGATCGTAATCGTCGAGTACTGCAAGTTTGGCAACATCCACAACTACATGCAGAAGCACCGCGATGTATTTATCGACCAGCTTACGGATAACAAAGAGAAGAATCTCGGTAAAGTCAACAAAGGCTACTCTTCAAGCACTGCCAGTAGCGGGTAAGTACACTTTGAAACTGAAAATATGGCTTGTGTTTTGAAGTTTTCGTCTTCGTAAATAAACAAATTTTATGTTCATTATTTCGAAAAATAAAAACTTTTTGTATGTTATATTTATTGACGAATCTGACATTTACATAATAATTTAAGCAAAGATTAAGCTCATTTCTTAATTATTACCTAAGTGTAAAATATACAAAGTTGAAAGAGCAGGGTTAAGTTTTTTAAACTGAAAAATATGTGTCTGTAAACTAGAAAACATATGTTTGTTGATATTTATATTATAAAGTTGAATGATTTTTTGTTTGTCTGCAATGAATAGGCTCCAAAACTACAATACTAGCACGATTTAAAAAAATCTTTCAAATTAAGAAAGAAGCTATATCATACGCGGGAGGTGTAATTTATACGGGTGATGTTGCGGGAAAAAAGCTAGTAAGTTAATAAATCAATTTTGTGTTTCAGAATAAACTCTGACTACTTTGGCACGAACCACACTCAAGCGACGGACCACACTTTCTTAAACACTGCCAACACTAACAGATCGGGCAGAAAAGGTGACTTTATTTTATTTAAAAACATCATCATATTATTTAAAAAAATATGAATCCAAAATATTAATTATAATTGATTAATTTTGCATTCACAATGCTATACTGAAAAATGTTCTCAATGGAAAATGCTTAAAAATCCATTTTGTCCCATCTCAGAGCATTCCATAATAATTGTTTATTTAAAGTACAAATTGGATAGAAATATAATAATATGCCTTCTAGAGGCATCCGAATTATGAAATAGCAATTACTTGTAAACTATGATAGGTTTCCTCTCGCTTTATATTAACGTCACTAATTTTATTACGTTAACACAAAGCGAGAAACAAGGTAATTGATTCTATTATCTAAAATAGAGTTAGAGTTAAAGTAATCTTTTCTATTCTGAATATATTAAGGAAAATAATCATATCACATAGCGTTTAAAAGGTAGTTAAAAACAGTTTAAAAATTCAATTGTTATTTGTTCTTTTTCTCTAGATAAACAAAATCTTCAAGAGGAATTTACTAAAGGTAAACGAAAACGCAATCAGATTGTGATTCTATGCTCTATGTAACTTTTATCTTATCTTCTTGCACGGTCATAATTCTTACTTTACTCCATTTCACGATAGCGACGATGTTAAAATAAATTTATTTGCTTACTAGTCTGCTTATAAAAGCGAACTATCATATTTACTGAAATAATGATTATACTAAATAATTAGGCGCGGACAACCAAAATCACTCATTTTTAACCGACTTTGTAAAAATAAATGACGCTCGAATAATAAAGCTGTAATTCAAAATGAAAAATCAATATCATAATTCTGACGGTTCTATCACAGTTAGACCTAATTTCTGTTTTTTTTTTTTTTATTTTATTAGAATTAAAATGACTCTTTAAATTATCATTTTTTATTGACCCTTGTTTAAAGCGTATATTGATAAATGAGTTACTATGTAGACGAGGGAATTATGCATCAATTTTATGATAATTGTTTAGTTTGCAAGTAGCTTAAATATTCAGGCAATTTTAACATCGAATTTTATCCAATATTATAAAAACATCAATAGAAATATGATCACACATAGCGTCTCTTCCAACAATTTTTACCCTTTCATTTTCCAGAAAATGGTATGTACGATTTTATACATATACAGTTAGATTAATCCATGAAGATTATTAAACTCTAACATTGAAATTGTTCGTTCTATAATTTAATTAATTAACACCAATTAAGCGCACCCCTACTAACTCGCCATTTTTTTGCTATCTTTTGTCCCTTCCACTTAATTCCCTGGCGCAATGAAATGGACAAGGACAGTCTTTTAGCCGTGGGAGAATTTCTTTAGTGTTAATTATTTCCAAATAACTTCTACAACTATTGTATATTATTTCAAGTATTTACTTATTCTACTATTGCACTTCGCTCTCCTCCAGTAATTTAACTTCCCTCCAGTAATTTAGCTATAAATACTAGGAAAGTTTAAGAAATTTGCTAGATATAATGATGATGACAACCAGACATACAAATGATGGCGTATATCGTAACTAGCATTTTTTCTCTAAAACCAAACCTTTGGAATACCTCAAAGAGATTGCTCGAATAAACTGTTAGCGGTAAATGACTTTTGTATAAAATTACATTCTTTGGGCGTTTGTTTGACTACAGATAAGTTTTAACAAAACGTTCTATGGTCTTCTACACAGCAAACTTTTGCTAGATGGGATTACCCCCCAACAAAAGGCAACTCAAATCATTTTTAGTTAATTCTGTAAATCATCAAAATATTAAGCCTTGGCTACAGGGTGGCTCACATATTTATCGTTTACATATTAAAAAGAATACCTATAATATAATTACTTTACAAGATATAGACTTTACTTGCGGGCTTCTTTTTCTTGGCAAAATTTATAAATTAGCTTTTTTATCGGGTATTTAATTTACAGTTAATTGTGTTTTTATTTATCTTGTGCACGATAAATTTAATACTAGTGATTGAGTTTATCATTACAACTTTTATAATAATATTTTTTTAATATATAACAACATCACATACATTGATCAGATTCCAAGATGAGTAGCTAAAGCCCCCGTATTATGGAGTATCTGAGACAACAAATGTACCACAACACCCAGACCCGAGACAATATAGAAAAGTTCATTTTATACATTGACTCAACCGGGAATCGAACCCGGGAACCTCAGAGACGGCGACACCTTGAATCCGGCGTGCGAATCACTCGGCTACGGAGGTCGTCATTGATATGTTCATCAATCGATATTATATAAAAATGAAAACAATCCGAGATGTAATGTATTTTTTACACATTACTTTAGGATATGTTTATTACATAGTTAATTATGTTCATGTATTGTTTGTGCATATTTTAATATATTTATATATGGTAATATTTTTTCCTTTGAGCTTATACTAAAATGCAAGTAAATCTGTCTGCACGTAACCATTTTAAACTTATTTTCCTGGTATTTCCACGAAGAGGAATTCACATGAGGAAGTTGAAAAATTCAAGTTAGTTTGTTTTAAACTATGTACGTTCATTAAAAAAAGTACTTATTCAAAGAGAACTCAGGCGAAGTTTTATATAATTTTTAAGATATACATTGGTCTCCCATCCTATGACCATTCTTGGGAAAGTTGCTGAATCTCTGCTCCGCAGATCATTGCCCATCGTGCCGCTCCCTATAATTGAGACAAATTATTTGTCTCATAGAAAAATATTTAAAAAAAATCACAAGAGATGGGATATCATACACATTATCTTACGGAGTCCGGGCGACTTCTCTACCAACTAAGTTACTTGAGATTTTATGGAGACAGACTTATTTCTCAAGCACTCGTTCCTTTCACTGGTACCTTAGTTTAGTTACAGAAGTAGATAAGTAGTTTGAAACCAATCATAGCCACATATATGTTAGTGAATCAGTTGTGCACTTTATATACCACTCTTACGAATTAACGTGCCACCTGAATACCTATCCTCTTTCGCCGAAAACAAAATTTCGTCTATTTCGAAATGCTGATATGACTCTAAAAGAAACATATTTTTTAATATATTCTGAAACAAAGAAGGACCATACACTGCCCCTGCTGCACATATGCACGGATATTATTATAACAAATTTATAAGAATGATTTCTGAATTTTTATTCGATGACAAATATAATAGAATAGGTCAGGTGTCATATTAGAATTATATATCCACCATTGCTTTTTTTACTCACATGTAATTGTGGTAGCAATTCTGTTGGCACAAACTAGAAATCCAACTGCGTTTGTTTAGTTTGTGAGAGTACCTAAAATAGAGTAAATGCTTATTATACGAGCAAGTTCCAGGTCATTTGGAAAATCATCTAATACTTCTAAAATGTTTGAGTTAGTTTTTAATTTGAAGAATAGTAGAAGAATTCGATTTATTGCTTTGTAAATTATTTCTTATCTACAAAGTATTTCAATGGACGATATTTTGGAAGATATCATGGTTTTTGTAAGTGACCCGGAATTTTTGCTGTTCAGTTTATGTGTTATAGTACATGTGTAGTGGTGTCATAGCAATGACACGTGTGACATCGTCGACCACATGGTAATGTGTGATGCGCTGATTATTGTTTTTAATCTGTACGTTTTTAATTAATGCACAAGCATAACACAAATACAGAGTCACAGATTGTCCACTCACATTGCCTTGTGTGTTTTGACTGGGGCCTAGACCATATACATATTTATTTCTTTGATATATGGTAAGGGCGAAGGAATTTTACCCCATACAGCCATCTCTAACATGTATTGCTGAGGTGAATTGTCAAATATAAGTTTCGTTTTTTTTCAAATTACGTAATCGTTATTAAGTTTTTGTCGGATGGAATATTATAACACTTTCTTTCTTTTATATGTCATTATGTTCTTAAATGTTTCTTTTTCCTCTTTTTTTGTATCTTTATTGTGCCTTATATGTTCCTAATAATGTACTTCAATAAAAATGTGAGATAAATAAATGTTTCTTCTTCATATACTTTTGATTCGTAGACATATTGTTTCTAACAATATATATTTTTATTTACAATATATATAACATAAAATACACAGTTTATAAATATAAGAAACAGAATTATAAAAAAGCAAAAACGAACAAAATGCGCTATGATGCATGTAATCAAGCTGGTTTCAGCTCAGTATAAGCAGTAAGCGGAATCTACTGCACTGCTATTTGAAGAAGCCAGCAATGACAACATGAACTATTTATTAGCACTTGTAGAGTAAGAGAGATAACAAGGACGTGAACTTTTAGAAAAAAATTACCCAAATGAGTAGGTACATTAAATACCTAAGGGTACCTAAATGAAATTAAGGGAGTGGTATGCATTACGTAAAATAAAAAAAGCAAATGTTAAGTAAACACTTGGATACTTTTCAGGCTTTATATTTTTATCAATCACACACATTATTAATTTAAAATGTTTATTGTCGTCCAGTAAATAGTACTAATATTTTTTTTACATAAATGTATTATTTTATTATTACAGTATCAGAAACTGGTTATGTCCAACCAGAGTGGCGGTCGAACTACGAAAGCGATTACAGTTTCGACGGAAGGAATCCTAGGCCGCTGACGTCACGGGACCTGCTAGCTTGGGCATTCCAGATTGCTAGAGGAATGGAATACCTCGCAAGCAGAAAGGTGTTTTAGTAATTTGTTAATCTTATAATATAAGTATTCAACATTAGCAGTGTCTTAATAAAACCTCAACATGGCAAAATTATTTTTTTTAGAGGGATTGTGTATGCAACATACCTCATGTGTATGCAACATCGACTTTTTACTCTGAATACAAATATTAGGATGATATTCGTCAGCCTAGGTGTAATAAACAATCACATCTTTCCTTATCTTTATATTATATTATAATTATTTGTATATAATGATATTATAAAGAGGAAAGATGTGATTGTTTGTTTGTTTACATTGAATAAGCAACTACTAGACTGATTTAAACTTTATTTTTTCTACGGGAAGTAACGTCATAGGCAGATGGATATAATTTATACGGGCTAAGGAGTGGGGAAAACATTAAGTGTAATATATTTTTTTGGCGTTTAGCTTTACTAATTAATTATACATATCTGTCAATACTATAATTATGTGTTAAAGATGTCATTTGTTTTATTTTACATTTCAGGTGTTACATGGAGACTTAGCAGCTCGGAATGTGCTTTTAGCTGAAGATAACATAGTGAAAATATGCGACTTTGGTCTCGCTCGAAGCATTTACAAGAATGATGAATACCAAAAGAAAGAAAACGTAAGAATGTTTATAATCCTCGCAAATTGCTAATGCGCCTGCAGCCATTTTGATGACGTAATTGCGTTCTAAAACCTATTACATTTACCTATTTATAAAATTATTATATACTAGCTTTCCGCCACCGGCTTCGCCCGCGTGCTTCGCTGGTACCTTACTCATAGATCTAAATTCCCCTCCCGCACGCGCACCCTTCCGCCCGGTGATGAATTTTAATTTTAATCATTCAAAGACCAAATATTATCTATATAAACTGTACTTAGTGATGAAATAATTTATTTTGATAAGGATTAATAGCATGAGTAAGATAAACGCGTTTAAATGTAGTGGAAAAAATCAAGATTTTTAAATAAAAAATGGTTGTTGTGCCTCACTCGACATAGATAGGTATAGTGTGTCGCGGACTTTTTTGTAGATATTTATAATTAGGACATTTTATGGTTCTACCGATTATACTTGCAATTTTAAGCAGCGTACGCAAAATAAGTAACTTTTCTGGTTGATTTTTTACACCTTGTGTCCGAAAAACCCAAATATCTTACGGATTTTGTTCTAAAATAAAATATAGCCTATGTTACTCGTGTATAATGTAGCTTTCGAATTGTGAAAGAACTTTTAAAATCGGTCCAGTAGTTTTTGAGCCTATTCTTTACAATTAAACAAACAAATATACAAAGTTTTCTTCTTATAGTATTAGTATAGACATAGTTTTTTTTTTTGCTAATTATAATGACTCGCTATTATTATTTTTTTAATGTTTTTAATATGTTCCAGAGTCCACTGCCGGTGAAGTGGTTGGCGATAGAATGCATGACCGATCGCATCTTTTCGACGCAATCGGACGTGTGGTCATTCGGCATCGTGTTGTGGGAGATGTTTTCACTCGCTAAAACGCCGTATCCGAACATGAGCCCGCAACACTTGCTGCAGTGGCTTTCTGAAGGGTAAATCATATATTTATTAACGAATTGACCTCATGAACTTTGGGCCGTCTTAGAATAGATGAGGCCGTCTTAGAATAGATGAGGCAGTTTTAAGTCCCGTACCATATGTTTGACTATACTAAATAAAAGGAAAGAGTGTCAAAAAATCTCCGAGCTTGCGTGGATCGTTCGCCACCGGATTCAAAGTGTCGCCACGAGGTCCCGGGTTCAATTCTCGGTCGGGTCAATGCTGAAAATCGTCTCGGGTCTGGGTGATTCTTATATATCCTAATCGCTTGAGATTACCATTATACAAGTACTTTAATTTTGTTTTAAACTTAGTTTCATACTTATATCACCTAGGCTGGAAGAATTTGATCAATCATCATGGTGTCATTATTATGGGTTTATTAGTAGATTGTGGCACATACAAAGTCCATAGTGATAATAATTAATATTTGTGAATTTGCATTAAATAACTTTAAGGCAGTTGAAATATATAAAACTTACTGATTCACTAAACTCGCTCAGATGCTATGATAGTATTGTCTTTTGTTTTCTTTAACAATAGGAAAAGAAGTTTTTATAGTTTTAGAGCATACTTTGTGAATATGTCTTCTACGATAAAATATTAATAACTATAATATTCTGCAAACGTCCACCAGTTTCGACTTCTTAAAACCGAAATTCTTGAATACGTATATAAGTTAGCCGCAGGTTAATAAAATAATTAAAGTGATTCAGATCTCCAAGTCGTTTAGAAATGTAAAACACTCTCTTCACTTTTCATATTAAAATGCCAAGTATTTTGCAAACATGGTGTAATTCGAGCTCCAAAAGGTGGCCATAAAATCTAAAAATAAACGTATATTGAATCAGAATCATTTAATCGAAGACTCAACCAGCATGTAGTTTATTGGTTGTTTCGCTGTTTAGTTTACGAGACTATTAATCGGCGAGTTCTTGACTAACAGTTCTTGAAATATAAAAGTTCACAATTGATTAAGTAATAAAATAGACTTTACGGCAGTTATAATGCCGTAAAATCTATTATGCCGTAGATCTAAATGTTTGTACTTTGCTAATTATCTCTTATTTAGAATATCAATTATTGATGAAAGCAAGGTAAATTTCAAAACTAATTCGACAGAGTAGCTCGGTGGCGTAGTGAATAAGCGCTCCGGCCCGCGATCGTTGTCGTTAAGCAACTTTCGCTAGGATCGGTCACGGGATGGGTGACCAAAAAATTATTATCTCGAGCTACTACGTGCTTCGGAAGGCACGTTAAGCCGTTGGTCCCGGCTGCATTTGCAGTCGTTATCCTCTAATCCGCATTGGGCCAGCGTGGAGGTTCTTGACCCATCCTCCTTAACCATCCATAAGGTCTGAGCCCCTGCAGTGAGGACGTAAAAGGGCTGTTGATGATAATAATTCGACAATTACCGTAATTTTGATTTCGATAGAATCGTTTGTAAAATTCAATAGGTTTTCTTTTAGCAGATTATAGAATTTTACATTTCATCTTCATTTTGATTGTCCGCATTTCAAAAGTACAAATGCAATAGAATAATTTTCGTGTTCCTGGACAGGAAGTTGAATTTTTATTGATTATGAAGGTGTATTTTTCTGTTGTTTCAGACATAGGCTCGAGAAACCAACGTACGCGGATGACAGGTTGTATGACGTCATGATGCGGTGCTGGGCACACAAACCTAATGCTAGACCCTCATTCACACACTTGCAGGAGCTTTTAGGCTCGTTCTTAGAAGACAACGTCAGGAACGTAAGTTCTATAATTATATAGGTTTTTCAGCTGTTATTTATTAGTGACTGTGTGAGATTTGACTGGTACCTAAATAATAAATAATTACACTATTCACAAAAATCTCGAACTCACGTTATGTTGCAGAATTTTAAATAATATTTAGCTAAAATCGCTACTATCGTGCTCGAATGGCCTCTCTTGAATTTGCTCCGAATGAGACATTTGTCTTTGCGCTGACCATGTTAATTATCATAACATAACAAACGATTTTTTTTTCTCGGCAGAGGCAAATCCAACCAAATGTCAATTACCTTTTCTTAAGTTATAAATGATCTATAACTATTGAGATTACGTGGCTTTTTTATATAATACTAGCTTTGCCCACTTAGTTTACACGATTACAGTACATTTATCCCTAGGGAACCGTTTAGTTTTATCCTCCTCCGTTCAGTAGTTTTCGTGTGTAATAATAAAAACATACATAAATCTATCGTTTATCTATTTATATATTTATAAGCAGATGTAAATAGCAGCTGTTTTGAGTTCTTCCTAATTGATCTGTTTTATTTTCAGCATTATGTAGATTTGAATTCTGCATATATGGACCTGAACGTGAAGAGTGCTGGCCAGGAAGACTACTTGGCTATGGTGAGCGCTCCCGATTACAACAATCTGGTTACTCCAAGTCCCCACCACTACGTCAACGATGTAAGGAGTTTCTTCCCACCAACGCCGAATCAAGTTCCTTTAGGTGAGCTATCTACTAATAAAATGAAATGCAATCTATTTTTCAAATTAATATTTTACATTATGACGTTATTATTTCCATTGCAAATGTAAGGTTGACTTTGTGCTTGGTTTGGTACTATCAAAATAACCTCTGTAACCAAATGGCGCGCACGCCGGATTCAAGGTGTCGCTATCTCTGTAGTCCTGGGTTCGATTCCCGGCCGGGTCAAGGTGGAAAATTAACTTTTCTATATTTACTTAGATAAGTTTGTATCTTAGCAACGTATGTGATGTAGTCTAATTAGAAGCTTTTCAATCGCTGTACCTTCTTTTGATTATATAAAATCATATTTTTAAGTTCTTTGAAAACACATAATTATGTTTATAAAATTATGTATTTATTAATTGCACGCAGCTGAGACAAAAGAAGGTAACTTATTATACAATATGAAAAGGGTTGTTTTATTATTTTATTTTCCTATGAATAGTTTTAGCGCCATATAGGCTTACTAAAGTGGTAGTTGTTATTTTTTGATAGCTGAATCGGAGACCACTACTTTCTGAAAGAATGCAATCCAGTCTTCACGTGGTAACGAGATATAACTTGAATTCATTTTGTCTTATTAATATGTACAAATTCAATGTTTCGTGTTGCACCTCACTGGATGGAGTTGGGATATTGAGCGATTTTATGTTGTTTAAAACGCATGAAATTTGTCGCGACTAATACGGGCCTGCCTTCAAACTGTAATACCAACGTTATAACCGATGCTTAATTAAATTATCTTATTAAGACTTTTCAAAAGGTACAAGTGTTCAAATAAACAAAATCTTCATGCTGTATACTTTTATGAAAGTTTTTCTGCGTTTCAGACGACGAGGGATACTTACAAATGACTCCAATGAACCCATCTATATTTAGCCCACGGAACCAGACGACTAAATTCGATTTCGATGCGAAAAAGTTCGATCCCAAAGTGGCCGAAGGTCGTGGCGGTTCAGAATTAACGCCCATGTTGACATTGAACAACTTACCCGCCAGGAGTGGTTCCGATTCCGACCACGAGGGTCATTCACCCTACCTCAAAATGTGCCCAAAAATTGTAGAAGAGAGCGACGACGTCTTTAGACCGAACGAGAACAACTTGAAAAACATTCAAAACAGTGCTGTGACTAATCCCACGTACATCAGTTTAGATATAGACGGTCTAGAGAAGAAACCGAAAGATATTAATAACTATATCAATGTATCTAATGGTCTAGTCAAATAAAGGTTTTTTTTTTCAATTTCGAAGGAAATATTGTACCACACTCTTGTCAATTGTAGAATTACAATAGTCTGAGCTTACAAGCGATCTTGTACGAGGTGAAATAATTATATGGGGTTATTGTTAAAAAACTAGCAACCTCTTAGGACTAGATGGTAACATAAACAATTCACATTTGATTTACGAGTAAGCCATTAGCCGTACTGACTCCGTTCATCTTAATAAAAATAATAACATCTCATATATAAGCTATGTTTACGCGCGCGCTGTGTAAGGTACATACTTAATAAGGCGAATTTATTAGTTGCATGAAACTAAAAAAAAAACACGAAACTAATTTCGGCACGTTTGAAGCTACTTTCGTAATGCCGTGTAATCAATAGTATCTCTGAGACACCGACTCCATCAACATCGAAATTTTATTATGCACAATAGGCCAATTCCTCTAAAGTTAACGTTAAAATCGCATTTCAATACAATCTCAACTACTTGCATTTCAAATTGCACTATCTGCCTAAAGTCCAATATTATTATATATTTGTCACCATTGATGTACGAGGAAGATAGTGCACTAATAATATTGGACTTCAAGTACTTTAGTAGGTACAATGGTGAAGTTGAGATTGCATTAAAATGTGATTGTTACGTAAAAATAAACAGAATTTACCTGCAGACGGTGTCGCGACACTAGTTTCACCATGTAAATCAAGGTGAAAGTAGTTTCATTTCATCAAAACAAGAAGATACCCACGTGGTTGCTGGTGTTTAACAAATAACTCTGTATATAGACTAAACTGATCTCCTATGAAAATTCAGCTATATCTTATCTCCTACTCTTTTCTCATTTGATATCCATTTAGTTATTATTAAAGATCATAATTCGAAGACGTGTCATATTATAATAATTAATAGATGTATTTGTGATGTTCTTTAAAATGTTATGCGAATGTTTGTCTTAACAATTAATGCACATGTTATTTATATTTAATTTCAAACCTTTTTATATAAAATTCTTCTTTTCGATACTCATTCTATTCCAATCAGAGAATAAAACGTCACTGATTCCAGTACGAAATTATAACATTTAAAAATATGAAATAATCTCGTGGTTTTTTTCTAATTTTCGTCACTATTATATATTTATCTTTCTGGTGTAATTATCGCATGATATAGATTTAGGATTATTATATTCAAATAAGGCAAGAATGATATAAAGTGAGATGGTATAAATAAGGAAAGAAACGTGTTTATTAATGTTTCTCATATTATTACAGTTAAATGTATTTGGTAGGTATATTGTTGCTGGACACATAGCAATGTGTGTTATATGATGTGATATTTTATTATAGGTGAAGAAGATATAAAATTGAATGGCATTTTATAATTATAGATAAGTAATATAATTTTTTTGAACCCCACCATATGGAATATATGATACAATGACTTATTGTTAGTTTATTATTATCAATATTTTCATTAAGAAGATAGAAGCTTATATAAATAATTCATTAAAGTAATTACGTTATAACAATGATTAATTTGATTATATTAGAATAGCTTGATATTGGAGCTCGTATTTTTCTGTTTATATTTTTAAGAAATATCATTTTGAATTAGCTACCAGTACAGAAATCTAGTCGGTATTACTAAAGTACATAAGAAGATATCGAAATGAATGTAATTGTATATGAAAAACATTATTGTAGTGTATGTCTGTCAAAAGTTTGAGTTGTTGCAGTTTTAGTTGTTAGCCATAAAGGTATTCTTTTTTGTTTAAGTTTAATATAATAGATATTTTAATATATGAAGTCATTATAATTTTTAATATAAATCATACACACTCATATGAAATCATTACAAAGTAGTAGTCAGGTTTTTGTAAGTCATACATACGACTTAATTAAATCTGGTGTTTGGTTCCCAAAGAATTGATATTATTTATACCTATATAAATTGTTATCAACAACATCAAATCATTATAAAGATATATTTATTTTGATAAGCATCTATAGTAGCTATTTTTTTCAAAAGATATATGAATTTATTTTTTATGTTATATGTATGTTCAAATATGTTATATGCAAATAAAAAATAAATTTGATATTATAAAATACCAAATGTTTTTTTAGCTCTCCGAATAAAAACTCTAATTGTGTTTTTGTTATTAATATATTTTACCAAAGATATTCCACTATGGTATATTTAATTTTTCGAAATATTTATGTTCGTTTAAATAGTTACTATGCATCATCTCGCCTGGCAGTTAGTTATTAAAATTTGGTAGAGTAGTTATTTATTCATTAAGTTTAACCATTTGTCTTGCAGTTAACATTGTAAGAATATTGCGAAATGCGCAAATAAGGCATAAATAAAAGAAGAAGAATGAGGGCTAATATTTTCGTTCACCAGATGATGCGACAGTCGCGAAAGGTTCTGGTCAAAGTTTGTTTACTAAAGAGATTGAACGTAAATCATACATCAGATAAATAAACCATTTCATTATAATTGTCAAACATGCCTAATAAGCAGTACCCTCTGCTTAAGTTATTTTTTATCTCGTTTAATTTTACGCTGCTTTTTCTTAGCTCCGTTTTTAAAGCGCTGAAATTCATTGGCCCGTAATTAATAAATGTTTTATCTCAAAATCCCCCAAATAAGCGCAAAGTAAACACTTGAAAGAAAACTTATTTCATCGACAAAGTATATTTGACATTTTGAAGACCTCACGCTATACTAACGCCTCTAGCGGCAAATTTAAACGCGTTATCCCTCATTGTTGTCGAATGTTCTACCACATACGGATTCGCAAGCGAGATGACATGAGAAAACTCACGGGGACAATTGTGGTGACAATAGGCACCAGTGTGCACGTAGACTTAGGGCATTGTATTGTATCCGCTTCTGACCCGTAGAACACCAAAGTGGTTCACCTAGGTGTTCCACTGTTAACTTTTTGTACCCCTGGTTCACCTAGGTGTTCTGCCATTCAAAATAATGTACCCGTAGTTCACCTATCTAATGAAACACAAGTCATCCTAAATAATTGAAAAACTTAATGTTAAAATTGATAAAATTAAAGATTTTCAGGACAAAACCAGAAAGAAATCTGTTTTGGTAATGTAATAACTTAATAAGAGACAGAAAACAGACTACTCCAGGGGTGAATATTCTACTTTTAATTAATAAATTTTGTGTCAAATGCTTGGTTCGCATAAAAAAATCGCCTAATTACGTAGCTTTCCTAATGCACTCACTAATTGCAAGATCCTTATTAACTAATTGCATTTGTATGTTGAGAATATAGTTATCAATTTCGAGAATTATTTTTCTTTTTAATAGGATTTTTTATCAACAGGTTTTTTATAAAAAAAAATAATTAAAAGTCTAAATAATGTCACTGTTTTTTGTTTAGCGCTCGGTTTCATTTGGCATTGAAGCCTTCGGTAACATTATTGGTACGGTGATGCTGTCTAAATACACTTAATGTTTTAATTATATCATTTTTTTAAAAATTGGCCTATGAGTAGAGTACAAAAGGATGGTCAGCGGTCTCGATTCCCATCAATTTCCTACACCCAAAGAGTTTTAAACGGCATTTTTTGGCTGTGTAGAAATAATAATAGAGGTGCAAAAAGTTAGCCGTAGAAGTAGATCAACGAAAAGAGTATCCACAGAAAATTTATACCTAGGTGAACCAGGGGTAAACAAAATTAACCGTGGAACACCTAGGTGATCCATGGGTACAAAAAGTTAATAGTGGAACACCTAGGTGAACCACTTTGGTGTTCCACGGGTCAGAAACGATTGTATCTACCTACTAATTGAAATTAGTTTATATTGCTGGTAATAGATGGCGGTGAAATTATATATTAGAAAATTTTACAAATCTATACTTACGCAGTAATAGTTTAACGTGGTTTTTGGTTTCTTTCTCTAAGAAATGTATTAAGATGTGGAACAAGAAACGGTGATGCGTAAATAAATATTTATTGCTAAAAGACACCTCTCATAAATGACACAACGAAACTTTCTAATGCGTCCGCCCCCTGAAAATAAAAAAAAAAATTATGGAAATGTTTATAGGAAGAAGTCCTTTGGTCTGTTTTAGCACATCGCCCACTTTAGAGAATACGGACATCAGAGAGTTTTAGTGGGTATGCGCCTATATTTGATTAGTTCCCGCTCTTGGGGGTGGGTCCGCAGAAGAGAGCCGCGCAGTAATGCATTTCCCTTCTATCTATAAAACCATTATATATAAAAACGCAAGAAATTCTATGTTGTTTGCTTGGGAGATGCATTTAACATTTATTTTATTCTGTTATTAAGAATTTTTGTTATAGCGGAAACAGAAATAAATCATCTGTGAAAACATCTACTATTTAACTGTCACGGATCATGAGATACAGTTTGTTCATAGACAGACTGACATCGAGATTTGAGTAATAGCGATAGGCAAACTTAAGTGTGAATTTGGTCAATACTGGTATACTTATAGTAATCGTAGTTGCATATTTTTCTATAAGGTTCTTTTGATGTGCGTCGAAAACATTTCGACTGCGGTATTTGATATTGGACCAATAACAAACAGGTGTTGATGTTTTTGGCAAATAGATACTATCCATTTGCTTTGAGTTGGTCGCTAGTTGCTGCGCACTTTTCCCGCTACACCGCACCATAGCATACCCTCCGAGTACAGCTAGCAACGTCATCAAGTACCCGTACACAGTCGCTACTCGCTATTATAGTTTCTCTTTTATTTTTATGAATGCTTGTTTTTTATTTATTTAAATAGTTTTTTTTTTCTTTAACTGATGGAAAGTTACCAGAGTGAATTTATAATAATACATTTATAATTTCTTTGTCGATGGTACCGGTTAATGTGCCATCATTTAGTAAAGGCTGTCGATGGCCTAATCGAAGCGAATAACTAGTAAATAACCAACGTTTTGTTATTTAAACTTTATAAAACACGAATATTCAAAAAGATAATTGCAAGTATAATT